AATCATCTCCGAGAAGCAGAGCAGCCAGACATGCAGCTCCTGCTGCTCTCCGTTGCAGCTGCTGCAGGCTACCAGTGGAAAACCGGTATCTTTCAGCCTCTCCTGGGGTGTGAGGAGGTAAACTTCCTACTGGATGAAATGCAAACTGTCCAACACAAATATCAGATGCTCCAAAATCTCCACAGCTACAGGGCTGTGGCATTCCTGATGCTCACAGCTCTGACAGCCACAGCTGGAGTCACAGCCATTTCTACAGAAGAGAAAGCACAACGCTTGGCATTAGTAAAACAACACACGGAAAAGTCATTGTCTGCAGAAATTATCCATGTCCTCACAAAATTTGAAACAAGTCATGACTGGGAAAGTCTAGAGAACAACCTAAGATTACTCGTTGATGGAGATTTTGAAGACACCAACCCTTCATTGCAGATGGGTGAAGTGAAAAAACAATTAGAGAGTCTCTGCCATAAAAAGAAAGAGTCTAATAAACAGCAAAATAATGAAAACAATAAAACAGAAGTGATGGAAAACCAAGCGTTGCTGGACTTACTCCATCGCCTAGGCCTAGAATGTTACTACCCAAAAAAGATGAACAGAGCTAAATTCCATCAGATCTATAAGACTTCTGTGCACAACACCCAGCCCAAATCTGAAGAGGAGCTTCCCTTCTATTTCCTGCAAAAGCTACTGATGCTGGACTATGGAATGAGATATTTGATCTTCAAAGACACAGGAAATGCAGAAACTCAAGAAACATTAAGTCCCACCAACGAGGAAAATTTGGCTTTTGATCCATATGAAGAGTTCTATGAAGACACTCCCGATGACACTAATCCTTCAGCTACTAAGTCTGAGCCACACATTCATCCGATGGATATCCAGATGGCCCTTTTCCATTGTGCAGACAACTTTGCCAGGCAGTACATTTTGGCAAAACTTGCCATGTGTCAGTATGCACTCCCCCTAATAGTACCCAATCCCAACTGTTCTCAAATTGAATCCTTTCTCTGGTCTCTCAGACAAATTAGAAGAAGTTGGAAAGATGCAAGTAAATCACCACAGGACAAGAGCTACAGTCACAAGAATCAGCCGATGTGCAGTGTCTCTGCCCCC